GGCCTCTATATTTCTTGCTTTTGACACGGTAGCCTACGGGAAATTCTAGCCCTCAATAGCGGGCCATCACTTGTAGAGCATAGAACCAAGGAGAACGCCAATGCAACAACTACCGTGCGACTGGCAAGCAGCAACCCTGTGCTTGGTTCTAGTATGCAGTCTAGCTGGCGCTTGAAGCCTGTATTGTCGGATTCAGATTGGCGTGTCGGTTTCTAAATCGGTACCCCTTTTGCTTGGTTTCAAGGGACACCTCAAAAGGACAAGCTAACATGGAACCATCCGCAGATTCGGATTGCGCAAAGGTTGCAACCATTCTCCAAAACCCCAGAAGGAACAAGGGCCGGGAAGCGGGACGTATGCGCTTTGTTGGTCGTACAACCGACCAAGCCAGCACCAACACAAGTCTAAACAGTGGTGCTAAACTAGTACGAACCAAAAAAAAAACCCGTGCGTCGAAACCTGCTGTTTCAGCCCTTACCAGGCGCTTCAAAGGATGTTCGGCCCCGGAAAGGGGGGCCCATTTAGACTGAGGACCGAGGACCAAAGACCTACGGGCCCGATTAGGCTGGTTGTATGTGTTTCTCTAGTGACTCCGCTGAAACGAACGCCGCATCCCAACCCCGCCCAAAATAGAGGTAAACGTCGGGTGCTGCAAGCCTCCTGCTAGCATAACCTAGACGGGAAATCTTGCTTACCTACTGTCGTGGTTTGTGGGTGCATGGGATGTGGGTGCGTCCCTAAAATTCGGGAGCTCCTGAGATTGATAGCTTGAGCAGCGTTGCCCTTTTGACAAGCAAAACGATCGCGCGTCTTCCCCTTGAGCCAAAATTGTCTTTTAGCAGGCTCAACAGAAAATTGAATAGCTTTCAAAGGTCCAAGGGGCTAAGTGTTCATCAAAAACCGGGTATTAGCCATTCGCTATACAAATTGTAGGCAACATCCATGTCTGCAAGGCACCTCGCGTCGAAAACAGGCGGCGGTCGCTCCTTGAGGTGGTCGTCCAGGTTGTCCACTGGCCGATGTACCACCAAGACCTCAGGGTTTCCACCGGTTCCTGTATTCTGCACGACATCAATACCAGCAAAGTTCGGCAGGGCCGGGCTTTCGGTGGAAGATTCAACAATGCGAATGTCAGAGAGCTACAGATTGGAGAGCGTCTCTTTCCCTTTATTTGTCTGTTCTTCTTCTCCATCTCTCTCTCTCTCTCTCTCTCGCTCTCTCTCTCTCTCTCTCTCTCTTGCTCTTTCTCTTTCTCTTACTTGCTTCATTCATATTTATCTGTATCTCTTTTTTTTTTGTCTCTCTCTCTCTTTTCTTCTCGTTTCTCTTTCTGCTTCTCCTTTCCCTCTGGTTCAAAACCTTCTTCAGCTCCCCAGTCCTCCAGCTAAACATCCTTTAACTGCGGAAGTTATTGTTAAACTTCCTTTGATAATCAACGAATAAGGTCGCTGAATCCTAAGTAGCTAACACTCCCTGTGACTACATGTACCACTGTACTGGCAAGTAACCGAAACACATTTTTCATCTCGGGGCTATCTTGCTATATGTTTTGTTGTTTCCTCTGGTTACTTCCCGTTGAATGGGATTACTGGAACTATGTATCCATGGCCCTTGCCCTCCCTGCCCCTTTTTCTTGGATCTCAAGAGAGTTTTTTGCTCTGTGCCGGCAACTGTGGATGTACCGTGGCTGCTTGTAATCGAGGAGAAACCCCTACGCCTTACCGCTTTTGACCATACCCGCTGAAGTTGCCCTCGACTGCCGAGCTGCGTGGGGGTCATAGATAAAGGCCTCAGAGTGAGCCCGAGAGCACTCGACTTCACCCGTTGGCGGTGGGAGGGGGAGGGGGCCGTTTGATCGTGGGCCAAGCCCATTACATTCCCGGAGGGTCCTGCACATGGTTTGGGCCTTTTATCCCCTTGCACCGCTTTCAGGAGTAGGGTTGCGCCGAATGACCCGATGGTGCTACTTGAAAACAAACTCTCGACTGAATTCTTCATGGGGGGGGTTCTCTCGTATCATATTCCCTAATTTCTGGACTTCATTCGGTAAGATCATCCTACTGGAAAACCAAGACTTAAACACTTCTTGGGCCAGCCCTTTCAGGGAGGAGTGGAAGACATCTTATTCCCACAACCAGGGGAAAATCTAAAAGTTGTGAATCCACTCTCTAGTCAGACTGCGATTCGTGCACTGAAACACCCCGGTGCAACCAGAAAGCTAACAGCCCCAGTCGAGTACGCCTGCGCTTTCCAGAGATACCTTTAAAAGCCTGCTGAATTGCACTCATAAGCTGACTCCATAGCGTGTCCAGCACAACCTGCAATGTGCTTGCTGCGGGAAATCAGAGTTTGTGTAGCTTTGAGGTCGCCGTCATGGGTGTCCTTTCTGGCTTTGTGTGCCTAAACATAGCTGGCCGTGGTTTAGCTTGGATGTATTGCATTTAGCATTGCGATCTATTTTGCGAGAGGAACACCTATGGTTGCTGCACCTTCGCTGGAG